CGACGAGAACACTGTCCACACACACACGTCACACGTCACACGTCACACGTCACACGTCACACGTCACACGTCACACGTCACACACCTCGACTCGACCGGGCCGGATAAATAGGCAAACGAGACGACTTCTATATACTACTATATACATGAACAGCACTACTAACAATTCATACGAACTAACATGTTACGCCTCATATCATAATAGTGTATTACGATATGAGACATAAAGAGGTTCGACCGAAGTAAAGCAGAGCAGCTCATTCAGTAAATCGTTGCGTGTGCGACGAAATGGTACAAAGATATATTATACTGAATGTGGCCGCGGTTAAATTTCAATTAAAAATATAGCCTATATGTTATTTTATTCATATAAGCTACATTACTGTAAACTATCATCAAATAAAATATATACATATTAAGATTCTCACTTTGGCACCTCACGGATTATCCTAAGACATGTCTCATGACATGACATGTTATGTAAGTAATTCGGTATAGATTTCATGATATTGAAATACTACAATATATAAATTGATGATTGATATATAAATTGAAATAATATACATACTCGGAAGTCTGAAAAGTTTCCGATCTCAATCCAACGATCGCAGCACGCGTCAACAAAAGTTGCTGAACATAGTTGTGCATCTTTTAACAGTTACACATCAAATTTTCAGCCATTTTAATAATAATATAATATAATATAAATAATTTTAGATGCACAGAGTGAACTTGACAGTTGTTTGAGTGAGTGAGTGAGTGAGTGAGTGAGTGTCGAGGTGTTGTTGTCTCTGTAGAGAGACTCTCTGTATGGGGAGTAATGGCGACTCTACACTAACATTAAACGTAGTGTATTTTGTTAGGTCGGAAACTATTCAGACTACCCACCTTACTTAGTGTCATAGAGTCTACTCACCTAAGCTGGAAATTAAGTTTCCCCATAACTCAGCAGTCTGCCAAGCGAGGAAGAAGAATCCAAAGAATCGAACGATGATGCCGTCCACGGCCTGGTCGGTTAATTTAGCATAAACGCTCCCGGCTTGTGTCAGATACGTGGCTTTGGACGTCCACATGGGCGCAGCCCCGAGGCCGACCACCACCCCGGCGGGGACCAGCGTGTAGAACGCCGGGTAGAACTGAGCGCCTATGTAGGGCGCGTAGCACAGCATCGACAGGCACAGGGTCCACTTGACCGTCAACCTCTTGATGAGGAACGTCGGGACGAAAATACAGGAGAGAACGAGCGCCGCGTAGATGGAACTGAGGGAGACCGTGCCGAGGCCGTCGGCCGCGTTTATCGACGACTGCAGGTTGGCCGTGCCCTGGAAGGCGGTGAACTGCACCATGAAGGCCGCACTCACCGCCGCCACGTTCTTTAGTATTCTCCATTTTTCGTTTCTGGAGAGTTTCACTTTGCCTGTGGGGTAGTTGTCCTCCTCCGCGGGCAGCGGAGGTGGTTTCACGATGTCGTCGTTCGAGTCCCGGTCGTGCTGGTAGCCGTCGTTTTTGAACCCGGTCTTAATCGTGTACACAGAATCTTTGTCCGGACGATCATCTTCTCGTCCGCCACCGTGCTTGGCCGTCATACCGTGTTACCTCCTGTTGCCCTGGAAGAGACATGATATAAGTTAGTTACATATGTTGCATCTATAGTTATATATGCATACTTCTGAACAGAGCTCAACGACCGAAGAGAACCCTGTTTAAATTCATTTTCGGTACTTGTTAGTCGAATGCCTACATTACAACATTAGTATGCCGCGCGTATGTAACTTTGATTGTACATACATTTTTCTGATTTGTACCGAATATCACTTTGATTGAATAATAAGTATTTTTAGAATTCTACAACTATCCAGCGTACTATATATACGATAAAATTAAAACTCACAGATTTTTGTGCAAGTACAATCGAATTTAATACAATGAAATAAATTAAGATCAAAGTTACGTATTGTCAAACAATATAATACAATAACTAACGCGCTTTACTTGCCTGCAGTAGTTTAATATCTAACTGGCAACCCCACCCGGCTTCGAACGGATGTATTACAAATCTCTGAATACATCCGCTGGTTCTATAGTACAATACAATATCTTTTATACTACTACTATATACTGAAAACGTGGGGAAGTGTCTTAGTCTCATACTGTACTATAAAGATGACTCTGTAATTAATCGCTAGAATACTTGTTATTTAACGATCGGTGGAAATGTTAATTATAATTAAGTTACTTATAGTTACATTATAATTAACCGTTATATGAGTGACAAGAAAGAATACATTATATTAATATTGAATGAGTTCACGGGTATAAGAGAGGCCGCATCGTCCAAATATATTACATTATAAATATAAGACAGTCAATAATTTAGACTAAATTTTACTTGCAGTAACATTGTCAACTATATGGACGGACGCGGCGACCGGGGACCGACGCCGCGACGCCGCGACTGATACGACATACAACTGCGCAGACGGTGCAGCGGTGCAGACGGTGCAGACACCACCCCGCTCGCGTTACTCTCATACTCATCACTTTGTGAGATTTATATGTAACTAACTCTCCTCCCCGGCTTCGCATAACCTTCCTTACTCTATCTATTGCTGAAAACTGCATTAAACTCCGTTGCTTTGTTTGAAAGACCTAAGCGAACAGACAACGAATGCGCCCTCATTCACTATAAACGTAAATATAAAGGTGTTATGTAATTTTTAAATAATACACCGTTGAAACAGTTAGAGACTTTTCAACTTGTACTCGTACTTTTAATCATAAAGTTTGTTTTTGTGAACATCGTGGAAAGTTTTCAGGCGGCTTGTTACATTGACTCATGAAGTAAATCGTAAAAGATTATTTAATGATTCAATCCTTCAATATGAGACACGTCCGTCAATGCTATTATCGGTCACATTTTTGTGTTACGAACGTGAAAAAATGCTCTATGATAAGTATGTTCTGAAACTAATTCCAATCCAATGATGTCGGATTGCGTTGTACAGCGTACGTGATAAACCGACGTCATAAAAATATGCACAACAGGCTGAATCGTTATGGATTCGTTCGGATCAGTCTCCGTATTTACGTTTCGAAAGAGAAGTAAAAGGATACGAATGAAACCTGCAGTTTAACAGTAGCGAGTATTCGTTATGAATATGACTATAAAGCTATAGTAATTCCCTAAGTAGAGTTTACGTTAGAGAACGAGTCGATTACATTGACTTACTTATGTGCCTGTCCACGAGTCGACGAGTGGTCGAGAGTCCCTCACATTGCATTGTAATGTAATGAATGTATTTTCCTTATCGATTTTTATTTATTTTACGTACATGCATGCGCTATGTTAGTTTTGCATTAAACTGACAGCACGTGATGAACGGCGGTACGTGGTCAAACGTGGCAGTCAGCAGGAATGGTCACGGTGTGATTATAAGGAGAGTGAGGGGGCCGGCCGCCGACGGTGGCGAAACGAGCAGTGCTCGTATTCCAATCAGGCGCGCATCCAATTCAGTCATACACAGCGACTGTCCCATTGTGCAACGTAGGCCGTGAAGTGTGCGGCGCGGTGTAGTGCCCACACCTCCACGCTACGCCGCTACATTGTTAACATTTGTTTTTATTTCATACTGTAGCTAGCTGATCAGCGTGACTCCGTCCGCGTTACATTATCCCCCCGGTTTTACAACATTTTTCATTACAGCTCTGCTCCTATTGTCTGTAGCGTGATATCACACTATTCTTATATTTTTCTTTAATTAATAATCTTCACTAAGATTGCTTTTTTGGCTATGATGACACGAGGTATCAGTATCATCAGTCATCGCTGAGGGGGTGACAGTAAAAATGAAAGAGACGAAAGCGAAAAGGACGAAATTCTCTAGATAGCAATTATTCACTAGACTGTTACTGGATTGAATGGGAGATAACATAATATTCATTACGAATAATTTATATGAAATAATTATTATTTGAGTCCTTTTCTAATTTGGCGTCAATTCATATTGATGTTCAATAACCTCGAAATTCTAGTATATATTATATTGTAAGAAACAATACAAGTATAATGAATCGGATAGCACATTTGTTTAATCTCATTTAATGCACACGAACGTGACGAATCGTGCTTTATTTCTGAAGTCGTTCATGATGTTCTGCGTATGAAATAGAGGTGACACGTATCGTACTCCGTCACAAATGTTCCATCGGACACATCATAATATAAACGGCTAGCTTCAGTTAGAGTTTTGAGACTTTCAGTAAGAGAGTGCGTGTGCACTCGTCCTAATGATTGTCGAACGTCGTCCACCGGCGATCAGACTGATCAGTTACATTGGTACACAGAGCGAGTCACGCTGCGACACGGTGCCGACACGGTGCCGACACGGTGCCGCGCCGGGTTCCAACTCGTCTACCATTGAAATGATTTTGCTAAAATATAAATTGTCTGTAACTATTCCAGATGTTTCATTGAAATTTACATCGGCATTGTAAAAATTATTTAGATTTATTCTACCTGTTACCGAGTCATTGTCTATTATATATTCCGCGGCATTGTTCGCAGTGGGTGACAACATATCGATCTTACACTATTTGTGCTTAATACATTTATTGCACGCGTTTACAACGTGTTAACGAATTAACGAAATTTCTTTTACAACCTACTTTTAAAAGATATCGTCCACATTAGACTGCATTTTTTAAAATGTTTTGTTACCTAATTAAACCCATTTTGTCTAAGTGCTAACTACTAAGACTTTCATGTTTCTTATTATTTTTTTAACTGAATGCATCCTGTTTGTATGTTTTTAAATTATCCTTAATTATGTAATGTAAAGTTTTCTCGGGACTTAAACATTATATTATTTAATAGCTAACACATAGAAATAACGGAGGCCCTGAACATGCTGCAACACACATAAACAAATGTTTGATGCAAACAAATGTTTCTAAGACAGATAATTTTACAGCCGACACAACTTCAGTTAACTGAATAACTAGTTATAAACAACAATGTTAAATAACTGATAAAATAATCGTTTCATGTAAAAACTCCATTTCCCACGGTATTAATATATGGTGTTGGTCAATCGATGTGCTACTTCCTGTTGTTACAACCCCGTCATCGTGACAATCATCTGGTGGACGTACAACTATACAACTATACAACATAAGTCGGTCGGTGCGGCGGCGCGGCGGCGGCGCGGCGTGGCCCAGCGGCTGTTCAGAGTTTTCATTAGGTTTATAATCGACCTGTCAGAGTTCGTTCGGTTAACCGCTTGGAACTACAAATATAGGTAGGAAGAATAAAGCATAAATATTTGACAACATATTCTAATATAATAAAAAAATTAAATTATTAAATTACTTTTTGATTATTCGTATTATTGAATTGACAAATACCAGCTGAGTTTTGAATACATCAAACATGAAATAATATTTTTTATACGACAGTATTGGCAATACAGCATGCGGCCCGTCCGATGGTAAACGATTACCGTAGGCTATAGATGCCTGAAATACCAGGGGTGTTACGTGCGCGGTGCTCTCCTTAAATGTACATACAAGAGTTGCCTCGTCCGGTACTTATCATTCGTGAAATGAGTCTGAAAACTTGACCACTAATTGGTGACGATGGCTGCACGTCTATGAATGTAACCGCGTACATATGTATATATAACTTAGTATGTAGGTTTCCTTGATTTCTCAACGGCCAATGAAATGGCCTTGTAAATTTTCCTGTTGTTAGCACTGACTATGTAGTTATCGACGAAGACAGTTCATGAACTTGGATTGTGTATTTTTATTTGCAGATTAGAGTGTAATCGATTTATGGAGGAAATGTGGACGGGGGCCTTGAAATTAACAATTAATGGATGTATTGTGTGTGTAGTGTGAATGGTTTGTAAAGATATCATTGTCTGCCGTAATCACACCTGTAATTAGTTGCTCCGTGCACTCCACACGTGTGCGACACATAATTTAGATTTAGTACCACCGCACCACGACCACGACCACGACCACGACCACGACCACGACCACGAAACAACACACACCCCGCCTGTAACACAACGCAGCGAACCAGCAACTAAATCCTACCGAACACGAAACGAAGCTTCACTATCAGATTACATTTGGTGCAGAAACAAAATAAGAAATGTCAGAACGTTTCAGTTTACAAAATCAGCAATGTTTCAACAATACAACATTTGCAGAGACACCAACATATGTTATGTCATTTGCAGGTTATAATTGTAAACAAAGATGCAGCCTTTGTACTATGGCTTTTAATTTTGGAGGAGTATCAATAAAATCTAATGTATAAAAATCTCATGTGACCATATATTGGTGTATATAATGGGGTAGTCTGAGAATAAATAGGTCGTGAGATGTGTTATACAGTGTACACCCCTCCATGATTAAGGTGTTAGTTAATGATTGAATGATGAATTAAACATTACAGATATAGTGGGTGGTGAAACAACTTCTGTGCGGTGGGCGGGTGGGTAGTTATTTCTAAAATTACTAAAAATTATTTTTTGTTGGTGTCTAGCTGACTGTCGCATAAAGCCAAAATGTTAGAGTGAAGTAAAGAAGTTGCTCTTAT